CACACTGAATTTTGTGGAAATATGAGGAAACTTAAACACAAGACATGAAGTAATTGAATTTTAAGCTGGAAGTTTTAATATTTAATTTAAGGAAATGATCATACAGCTCCAGTGGCGGGTTAGAACAAGCAGTAGGTGTAAGAACACTTAAAACCATCGGAGTAGAATAAGATGATTTTTTTCTTCCTAAAGTTACTGAGAAGGATAAACCTGTGTGCTACTCGTCTAGTGTTTCTTTGTGAATTTAACTTCTAAAGAAAAACTTTGGAGGGCTGCACCAAACCAAACAAGGAGAGCTGAACAGAACATGGCTTCACATCTGAACTCCTTATCTTTGATTATAATTACTTCTAATGGGATCCTCCGTGCGCCCTCATCCACTCCATTACATGATGAAGGAGACTTTGCCCTCCGCTATCCCTCTTCTATTCATAATTCAATGAGAACGGCTGATAAAATCCGCTTGAGCTCGCAGAGAGAGCATTAACCCTCGCCATTATCTCGGCCTGACCTTAGCTGATGCTGATCTGCCCTCATAGCTGACGCTGAGATGAGTGTGGAACAAGTAAAGAATTTCCCAGAGGGCTCAGCCAGGGTCCTGAACCATCCGCCGGGTGAAGGCTTTGGATGAATGTAAATTTTTCATTTGATGCATTTAGCTGATGTGCTTATCCAGAGAGACTTCCAATGAGGGCGCGAGTCGGGAGTCGGTGTCCTGCTGAAGGATGTTTTGGCTGGAAGCAGGCTGCTGGTGGACACACATTCTGGATGCTGGAGGAATCTCTCCGTGACCTTTGTGTGATGAGCCTGTATAACAACTAATCTCAAACATGAATAACAATGGGCTGAGCATGCATGATGGAGGATAACGTACTGTAGGCGGGGATTACTCTGAATGACTTGTGAGCTCATTTGTTTCATCACAATCTCATATAATGTCTTGACACCTTATTTGTCAGAATGTGTGACGATTTAAAGAGAAAACAACATATTCTTTTCCTTCCAAAGAAGTAACTAAAGGCGCTGATGATCAAATAACTGCAAAACTACCTCCTTACTTGACAAAGAGCTTATAGGGATTAATGTTTGCAAAATGTGGATAACAAATAGGAACTTCTTACCCTTTCATTATGTGCTTGCCTGGTGCTTTGCGTCAGATGCCTTTACTCCTGAACATTTTGTCAAACTATTTGCTAAATGCTATTGATGAACCGTCCATCACAGGTATGTGTCATTATTGTTTAACTACTGATTCTGAGGTGGATGACACTATAAGTCAGACCCACACGTCTTGACAACTACTTCTTGGAAAATGCTCTTTCCTCTAGTGCGGCTGTCAGATGAAGATAAATCCGAAGCCTCACGCATGCAAAACTAAAGGAGGCTTAAATCTTAGAGTGAATGTTTTGTGTGTGGCACTACAGGCCTAACGGTGACACGAACACAAAGGTCTCCTGAACCTCCAAAAACCTGAATGTCCAACACATTTTTTAAACATAATTAAATT